GGTGCCCACTGCAGACCACCCAGCAGCTGAATGGCACATCCTCAGGACTGCCTGACACCGAGCAGGAGGGAACCTGGGCGGTCACCAGGGCCACCCTCCTGGGTGACTGTGGAGGGACCTGGCTCCTGGGGAAGGAAGGGTTTGCAACCAGTGTTGAGCCTCCTGCTGAGCAAGAGCCTAGCTCTGCCTGGCAAAGTTGCTGACCCAGGAAGGAGACTGAGCTAGAAGAGGGGAGACCTGTGTGCTAGCCTCTACCTCACCCCCTTACCCCGTGTTGAAAGCTAGCAGAGGCTGCTAACAGGGTCCCCTCTCAGCAGTGGGGAGACACCCTTTCTCTCACACAGACACCCACTGAGCACTCACTAGTGCCAGGCTCCATTCACACACACTCACACCTGGACACTCACATACCACACGTCCCTCTCCCTCACAATGCCACCAGGGAGTGAGTGGCTTCTGTTTTTCAGTTGAGGAAATAAAAATGGATTAACTTGCCCAAGGTTGTGGAAGAGCCGGTCCTGGGATTTGGCCCAGGCGGTCTGGCTTCTGGTGTGGGTGTGCCGGCCATGGCCACGACTTGCTCAGGACTTTTTGGCCTGGGAGGCCCCGGGTCCATCCGGTGCTGGTTTGAGGTTCCCTGGCTCCAGGCCCCCACAGAGCCCTCAGGGACCCTCTCGGCACTTGTTCACCCCTCTTGGCCACTAGGGAGACTAAAATCTGGAGAAGTCACATCATTGACAGATGTCAGGCCTGCCACCTGACAGATTGCTGGTTTGGGGGGCCCAACCTCTCATTAGCACACAGCTCCTTCCAAAAGTTCTGCCATTTCTGAGAACAATTTGTCCTCATTTTGGTGACTATTAGTGCTAATTATGCCCTTTTTCTAATATATATTGAAGTAGATCATACTGACTGGGAAAAAAGGTCTGAGGACCACCTGAAATGATTACCGTGTGGGTGCAAAGCACACGTCAGGGGCCTGGGCTGCTCGTGCCCTCACTCTGTTTGAAGTAGCTGAGGCTCAGAGAGGACACAAGGTCACACAGTGGGAAGAGACCCTGTGCTGCAGGGTCCCCAGCTCTGGCTCCTCCCTGGAGTGCAGGGAGACCAGGGGCAGGGGGAGGGGTGCAGCAATAATGCCCACCCCCAGGGAGGTCAGAGCCTAACTCCACCAGGGTGGGATTTCCTGGGGTCCAAAATGTCTTCACACTGAGCGGGACGTCCCTACAGAACCTTGACTTGTGGGGGTAGGAGCTTGTGCTCCTAGCAATGGGAGCAGGACAGCTGCCTTGAGGAGTGCCTGCCATGTGCTGGGTGTTCTGAGTGCTCGTGCTCACTAACAGTGTCACCTCACAACAACCTGAATGCAGGAGCCTTATCCCCACTTCACGGTGAGGAGAGGGAGGCCTTTAAATTAAGGGCATTTAAATTGTGCCCCAGGCTGCCTAACTAGCATGAGGCAGGCTTAGCACGTGCAGCCAGGCCCCTGGCTGAATTCATGCTGGTAACTGCTTCACCGATTGCAGGACTGGTCTAGCGGGAGGTCTCCCTCCCTGCTCCTCATAATTGTGGTCTCATTTGAAGAATGCTTACTACAGGTTAGGCCCTGGGCCTTGGTACTACAGATGGGAGTCAGGCCAGAGGGGTGAAGAGATTGCCAAAGGCTCCAGCTGTGCAGAGTCAGGTCTGCTAGGTCTTCCAGAGCTCCCTCCCCGACTCCACCTCTGGGTTCCTGCAGCCTGGAGTTGCCGGTCGATAGGAAGCAAACACTCAGGACTGGGCAGCAAAGCCTGGCACTGGGCATCCCTCTCCCATCCTTTCAGTCACTTCTTCAGGCTCAGCTCCCTCTCCAGCCCCTCAGGGCTGGGTAGAGATGTGGGAAAACTGAGTCTGTGCCCACCAGTGTTCCTACACAGGGCCTCATGGGGCCGCTTGGGATTTGTCACGTCCTTGTACCCCAGACCCACACCCACACAGGCGAGGAGGTGTCCTTCAATCCCGTCTGGGGACATGTCGGGCTCCAACCAGGACACACTGGAGGCGGGGCAGATACCAGCCTGCAGGCCTTATCGTTGCTGCAATAAAAATTCAAGCCATAGGAATTGGGAACCCTGGATAGTTTTGAAGGAGGGAAGTGACCTGATCAGATTGAAAATAGGACCCCGGTGGTTCCTAACAAGAACTGTAATAGCCCCATAGCAAGAAGGCAAGGAGGGGGAGTAGGGGAGAGGACGACACACTGAACAATTCGGAGGCAGAGTCATGGGTGCTTGCGAGGTGGGGTGTGGGAACTACAGACAAAAGAACCAGGAATTGAATGACCTTCACATTTCTGGCTTGCACAGGTTGATGGAGGTGAAGCCACTGATTCACATAAAAAATATAGAAAAAACCAGTTTCGAGGCAAAGATGACTTTGTTCTTAGACTTGCTGACTTTGATGTACAGAGTGAGCCAGGGGGGCAAGTCTGGGGCTCAGGGGTCTAGTCTGGGTTAGAGATAAAACTCCCAGAATGAACACCAAGAAGCCACAAAAGAGAAGAGTTTCAGGGAAGTACTCAGATGTTACATCTTAGGTTGAGCCAAGTGGACTGAGAATGGAGGCCTGAGAAGCAGTGATATTTAGAAAGAGGTGAAGGGACAGTCAGGAAGGGCAGGGGTCACCAGAGGCAGGTCCCAGGAGCCCAGAGCTTCATGGAGGGAGGATCACGGTATCCAAGTGACTGATGGGCCAGAAAGTGAGAGGAAAGGACGTCCTTGGGACTGGCCATGACATCACTGGCACAAGCTCAGGGCGCTTGGCATGGATGACCCAAGTGGACAGTGCTGGGCATGGAGACAGAAGGCAGACAAAGCAGCCAGAGATGGAGGAGGACTCCCTGGTGGATTTTCCTCAGGACAGGAGACCTGAGCGTTCACAGACAGAAGGAAACAGGGCAAGGCTGAATGATGGAGCCTTTGGGCACGGGCTTTGAGTAGGAGGGGCGTGCTGTGTCCAGGGCCACAGCAAAGCTCTAGATAGGTGTGAAGAAAAACTTCTTGCAGCTGGGGATGAGGAAATGTCTCCTGGCCTATATTTCCCTGAAGGAGTGAGGCAGGGTTTCTAGGTAGGAAGAAGGGGAAATACAGGAAGGTTGACTGGGGACCTGAGAGTGAGCCTCAAGAAAGGCTTAATGCCAAAGGATTATGTCCCTCATGGGGGTGGGAACCATGAGCCTGCGGAGGCCCCACTTAGTCTCCTGTAGGTGGGCCTGGGCTGCCAGAGGAGCAGAGAAGTCAGGTGGGGTCACAGATGCAAGGTTGGGGCCTTGCTAAGTAAAGAATGGACGCAAGGAAGCCAGAGCCCCAGAGAGGAGTGGGTCTGAGCGGGGTGGAGGCCACCAGAAGCAGGCCTGCCCCCCGCAACGAGTCACATGAGGGTCCCCAGTCACCTGAGGGGTGAGCTGGCACCCTTTAGAGGCTCCAGGTAGAGCTAGCCTCTAAGTGTAGAACCCAATTCTAAGACTCTGGTCTCCAGGGTTAAAACCACTCATTATTTCCTGGTGGCAACAACCCACAACAGAGCCTGCCTGGGGGAAGACAAGAGCCGGGAGCTGGGGACTTCTGAGCCCCAGGACACGGGCTCATTTCTGGCTGCAGGGTCAGAGGTCAGATCCTGACCTCTGTTCCAGATCAGCAAAGTGGTGGGGCCCCTATTCATCCATCACTTATAGAAAGACGAGGTGCACTCAAATACTTGTCTAAAAACCAGGGGGTTTGTGTGTAACGATGAAGTATATTTTTTAGATGTTTGGTTACTAGCTGAATCCTTACATCAACTGGATTCACTGTTAATCTTCCATATTAACTTATTTTTACATGTTGGGCTTATTTATTAGTGACAGCTGCTAGCCTCAGATTAAATCCTTAAGACCACCCCAGGTTGGTCAGATTGTCTGCAGGACTTGACCAAGGCTCAGAGACACAGGGTCGGCCCAGCAGGGTAGCCGTTGAGGGAAGAGCTGGCAATTTAGATACCAATTTTGGTATTGGCTTTTCTTGGCATGTTAATGTACCTAACTGTCCACTTGGGGACCCCCGATTTCAGGTGTCTCTTGTATAAGAGCATCCTGCCCTGAAAGAATACAAGGGCCCACTGAGGCTTCCAGAATAATCCAAGGCCCTAGCAGCTGCTGAGAGATGGGGGGGTCACGCCGTCAGCGCTGCTTGCTCTGCCTCTCATCTGAGGCTCGTGCCCCTCTGTGGCCCTCCACATGCTGCGGGGGCTGAGCACATCTGCTCAGCCCATGCTCAGTGAGACCCCTCTCTCAGCTGTGCCCCTGGCCTGCTTCCAGAGCCAACTCAAGTCTCTGCTCCTCCTGGAAGCCCCATCTGCATATCCCCCCTCCAATCCCCTCTATTACCTGGACTTGGCTTTGAACCTCAGCAAATCTTTGCAAACTTAATTCCCTACCTCAAGATAGCAGGTGACCCCACCCTCACCGAGACCCCAGCTTTGGGCTCCACACAGAAGCTCTCAGTCCAGGTGTGTAGGGAACCCAAGGCCACAAAGTTCCATCTACTGGTCCCCTGGGTGCCCTGGAGGCAGCCCACGCTGCTCCTTGGGATGTGCTGGTGGAGTGACTGAGCCCCAGGACCCCCTGGGAGGTGCCTTGTAAGTGCTCATACCCCCTTTTCCCAGCAGCAGCATTTTCCTGGCTGTTCCCCACCCAGCCCACACCCCAACACCTGATGATTTTCCTTCAGGGACGTATGGGTTTTGGAGGAAGCACCACTCACTGTACCTGTGATACTGACGGGGGCACACCGTTTTAAGGGAATCTTCCACGAAGGTGAAACACAAGTAGGCTCAGAGGGCAACTCCCCAGGCCAGTTCACCCTGTGCCCTGCTGCGGAAGAAGCCCTGAGGAGCAGCCCCCATCCTGCCCGACTCTACCCCTCAGAGGAGGCCCTCCCCGCCCCACCCTGTGGATTCCGCCTGCCCCGTCAAGGCTGACCCTCTGTCCCCTCTGGGACACAGCCCTCTCCAGATGACTTGTGGAACCTTTTCATTCTCTATCTCTGAAGATCTAAAAAATGAGGAACTAAGACAGTTTAATGATGGCTTCCTTGATTTACAGACAATGTAAGGACAAGTCTTTCTCTCCATGCAGGGGGACAATGAAATTCAGGGACGGGGGTGCGCCAAGAGCAGGAGCACCAGCACTCAGGGCCTTGGCTCACCCTTAGTCGCCTGTCCCACCGACCGTCTGGCTCAGTAACCGCAGACTCGGGAAGTGAGGGGACCAGCTGGTCTCGGAAGTTGGAGTGAGGGGCCAGGCTGCCACCGAGGTGGGAAGAGGGAGGGTGGAATCTGTGGGACAAGTGACAGATTTGTCCTGAAGACCAGGGTGTGGCTCTGGGCCTCCGCCCTCCCACAGAGCCTTCCTGAGGCCAAGGTATCAGGGCAGGAGCAGTAGAAAGGAGCAGGTGCTGAGAGCTGGGCCTGGCTTTCCTCCCACACCCCACGTCCCGGTGACCCAGCTTCATCTGCCAAAGGCTAAGAGCATCCCTAGAGTTTGCAGCAGGAAGGGCGGCGAGGGTGGAGCAAGGAGAGACAGACCGGTTCCTCTCCTGAGGTCACCTGAAACATCCCCCTCCCCTCAGCCCCAAAGACCTGGGTGGGCAAGCTAGAGATCAAGGCCCCCAGCACTCTTCCCAGATGAAACCAGCTGAGCACGGCAGCTCTGAAGAGAGGGAGAGGGAACAGATGCCATGGGCTTGGAGTGGGAAGACCAGGAAGAGTGGCACTGGGGTGGGGGGAGATGTGGTCCCGGCTCCGTCCAGCCCCAGAAGCGGGCAGCCGTGGCTGCTGGTCCCGATTGGACTGCGCGGCCCATCTAGCTGAGCATCTTGTGCCGATCGAAGACTGTCTTCCGCTGCTCCTGCACCTGCAGCTTCCATCGCTGCTGAGCGCCTTCCACGCGCTCCAGCACCGTGTTTGCTCGGGGGCCCCCAAGGGAGGCAGCAGCGGCCATAGATCGGGCATCCTGTAGCAGGAAGAGAAAGAAAATTTGGCGCCGAGAGCTAATGGGGTCTGGAAGGCTTGATGGGAAAGAACATTCTGGGAGCAACCTAAGAGTCTGAACCCCCATACTAGGAGGCAGGATGTCCCCAAGGGCTACAGCTCCTTGAGGGCCCAGAACAGGGTCAAATCTGGAGGCTGGGGCCCGAGCCCTGCCCTGGAGTTTGGGAAAGGGGGTGCTCCGGGGGAAGTAGGAGAAGGGTGCCTGTTAACTAAGAGAGCTCAGGTCAGGTCCTGAGCTGCACCCCGAAGGCCAATTTCCAGCTCTCAGGAGAACACGGAGCACTGGCCTCAGGGTCTCACTTGGTCAGCCCGGAGAACGGCGCCCGTGGGCCCTGCGGCTGGCAGGTGGCCCGGGGGCCAGCCTGGCTGAGATGGCGGCACATCTGCTGCTCTGGCTGACGCCCCCTGGGGAAGGGGATGTGACATCACTCACGGAGACAGGCAGGGATGGAAATTTGGAGCTCGACTCAGCATTCCCATCCCAGAGCCCGCTCTGGCCCCTCTCCCCTGTGACAGCTTAGGGTAATTTGGCTCCTTCCCTCTCTGCCCCCACAGATCCCCCTTCTTTGCTCTCAAAACTGTTTCTGTCGTCAAAAGCAGCATCCTCCCCTAATTACCACTCTCTGTCTCTGAAGCCCTGGAGCCCGTGCATTTCCTGCAGGACCTGAACCTGATCTTTGGGGGGAATTAGAGCCCAGGGCCAGGCCCACACCCCCACGGGGATTTCCTCCCTAGCTCTCCCTGCCTCTCATCTCCTGCCACATATCTCTTAAAGGATTAGCACACCTCTCTAAGCCCAGAGCCGCCCAGTAAATGCAAGTTTGCTTCTAATGCCCTCAGCTGGCACAGCTTCTGTCGCCATGCAGCTGCCAGGCTGGGGAGAGGGAGGAGTGGTTAGGGAGAGAGGGGAGGCAGAGAGAGCTGGCAGTTGCTGAGAGGTATCTGGCTGGAGGTGAGGCTGGGAGGTAGTTCGCTGTCGCCACAGGACTCCGAGTCCCTTGCCTATTGAGCACTGCCCAGGGAGAGTCAGAGAGGGACACTGCCCCAGAGGCCCCAGTGCAGGACCAAGGAAGCTTCCTCCACCAGGGTTAGGCAGGGTGAGGAGCTGCACGCCCCGGAGGCAGTGCTGGCAGTGTCAGGCAGGGGGCGCACTGGGCTCAAGTCAGGACTGCACAGTTCTATGCTGGCTCCGGAGGGCCACCTTCTCCTCTGGCCTGACTCCCTAGGCCCAGCTCATGTCTACACTGGGAACCGGGAAGAAGGGACAGCCTCAGCCACTTAGGAGCCGCGTGGACAAGTTTCACCACTTCTCCAAGCCTCAGTTTAATCATGCCCATCTTTACAGGCCTTTTTGACTACACCCTCCATGGAAAGTTCATTCACATTTACAGACATGCAGGGGAAAAAAGCTTCACAAAATACTCCTACTCTGTTCCATTTCAGCTCTTAAAAATGCTGACTTTGACTCACTACATTGGTTTCATGACCAAACAGGTTGTGATCCAGTTTGAGAAACAGTTAATGAGGAGGTGGGTTCGGGGGCCTAAATAAAATGACCCATGTACAGAACTTAGCGGGCTGGCTAACTTGGAGCAGGAGCTCAAGGGACGTTTCATTTCCTTCCTCCCTGCCAGGGTATCAAATCTGGCTTGGAACTGCGGCTCTGACGCCCACAGAACATGGCCCGGGAGAGTGGCCACGATCTCTGAGCCCATCTCCCTGTCCATATAGGGGGAATGAAAGCACTTCTGAGATGAGGTAGAGCCTGCAGCACCGCCTGGCAGGCAGCGGGCACTCGAGGCAGCAGCCATGATTAACATCAGACCCCAGCCCTGGCACCTACTAGAGAGGGAGAAGGAGGAGAAAGCCGGCACCTGCTTCAGGGGCTGCCTTTGAAACAGCGTGGAGGCGTCGCGCCCCTTTCAAGTCTGTTCCCTCCCAGTTCAGCTGTGCCACTAACAGCCGCGTGCTCCCCCGCGCCAGCACAGCCCCGCAGGGCCGGCTCGGGGGTGGCGCTGAAGACCCACGGGAGCCGCTGGCCAGCCAAGAACCTGGCCGTGCTGGGCCAAGGGCCCAAGGGCTTCCCTTCCTCCCCACACCCTGTCTCGTCCCTTTGGGGGTGGCCCTGCAGGGCAGGCTGGGATGGGTCATGCTGGGCCAGGCTGGGAGATGGGGAAGCTCCAGCCCTGCTGCTCCCATCCAGAGGGTGTCTGTAGGAGAGGCAGCCAGAGGGAGCCAAGAGCAGAGCATTAAGGGAACATGCTGAAATTCACCGCATTACCACAGTATCATTTGTTTTCCCTTCATGTAAAGTCTTAACAAACAGCTCCTAAGTGGGAGAAAGCTGCTGCTGAGAGGCTCCGTGTTCCCATCGCTAATAGTCTGATTAAAAGGTATTAAAGACTCCACATCTGCTCCAGAGATGGCCCAGACAGGCCTCGTCCTTGCTTGCTCTGTAGTGGGATGGGGCTGGAGGTGAGGCTGGGAGGTAGTTCGCTGTCGCCACAGGACTCCGAGTCCCTTGCCTATTGAGCACTGCCCAGGGAGAGTCAGAGAGGGACACTGCCCCAGAGGCCCCAGTGCAGGACCAAGGAAGCTTCCTCCACCAGGGTTAGGCAGGGTGAGGAGCCTTGAGCCTCTGCCCTTGGAGGCTGGGCACCGGCCACTCAGAGACGGGACCTGAGCAGCAGGATGATGACCAGGGTGGCCGCCAGTCACTGCACGTGGATCATCCCCAGGCTCACTGGCCGGGCAACACTGTTGTCACGTGTAGATGAGAAATGACGGCTGTGGACAATGAAGCGCCTTGCTGCTCAAGGTCAAGCTGTTCAGTGGCTGGGTGGGCATTTGAACCTGGATCCTTCTTTGGCTAGTTTGTCCTAATAGGAAGTCAATGTGGAAAACCAAAGCAGCAGGCGGGTATCTTTGCCTGAGCGGGGAGCAGGAACTTGAGGCTGGACTCCTGCTGCAGCCCGGGCGGGACCCACTATCAGCATGGACAAACATGAGCCCACCAACTGCCTGGGTGGCACCCCTGTAGGCGCCCAGGGCCTGGCTGAGCAGTGCAGAAGCGGGCCTCAGCGGCTGAAGACAGGAGACAAGGACATGAGAACCCGCGCCAGGCACTGTCCCTCCCCTGTCCGCCCCAGTCTCCTCTCCATCCACACAGCTCAGAGCGGCTCTAGGGCCAAGGACTGGCAGAGGCGGAGACAGAGGCTCCCTCAGTTTTCCAAGTGGAACCAAATTCTCCCGGTGGCAGCCAAATCAAGCCCCTCTCTGCTCAAAGAGCTCCCCAACTCCCAGGCTGCTGCAGGTCACCTCCCTGCGATGTCAAGTAATTGTTCCAGCTCGAGCCTCACGCGGTGATCCCGCTACCTACAGGTCAAACACTGCTGAGCACAGCCCCAGGCCTGCGGCACTGGCCAAGCCCTGCGCTCCTGGGCACCTTCCCTGCGGTGCCCTGTTCTCCGCCACACCTCCGGCCACACCTCCCCATGGCCAGCCCTCGACTGTGCTGCCACTGCAGTGTCTTCCCGCCAATGATCACAACTTAAATGTTAAGTCCCGACAGAAATAGCTCATCTTCAGGGTGAGCAGGCACAAAGCTGGCACACACAGTCACAGCGACGCTGGGGTTAGAATTAGCACACTCACAGCAGTGCTTCTGAACTGAGAGGCAGTTAAGGACCATGGAGAGCAAGGGGTGAGCTGGGCACCAGCCCACAGCCACTCCCCAAGGTCACGCTCGTGAGGACAGCCTGTGAAGCACCGAACACCTGCTCGGGACTTATCTTCCAAACCGCACACCTTTCTGTCTGTCCTCGCGGAGAGCGGAGGGTGGCCCCTAGCAGTGCACATCTTCTCTGGGTTGTGAGCTGCCCGGGCCAGCGTGCTGCCCAGTGCCCTGGGGCAGCCAGGTCTTCTCTTCAGCCCAGTTCCTTATGTTCCCTGTTGTCGTCAGCCTCCCCTTCTCCTCCTCCGCATCCTCATCTTTCCTTGACTCCCTGTGCACCCCTCTCCTATAGCGGACCTAGAACTGGACCCAAGCCCCAGTGGGTTGAGCTCTTGGAGGACCCCTTCAGAGCTCAGGGGGCCCATGCTGTGAGCCCAGAGACACCCAGAGCTCAGAGAAACCCTTATTTCTCTCTCTTCAAAGAGGGCGAAGCCTGTACATCTAAAACAGCTCTGTTTGCCGTTTCTGTCCCAGCAAACACGCTTGCTTCCTCCTTTCAAAGGGCGTCTGAGCCCGGGGATTAGACCTAATGCTGCTGGAATCCCAGGGGAGGCAGCGCCCAGCAATCAGGGCCCACGGGGCCTGCCAGTGCTTTCAAAGGGAACACCACAGCTTTCATCTCCCTCCGAGGCGCTGGGGCTGGGGCTGCCGGGAGGCCACCTCTTCCTCTCCCAGTCCCCTAGCCCCAGGCAGGAGAGCTCCTGGCTACAGGGTGGGAGGATGCAGCCAAGGGGGCCGATCCTAGGAAGTGATCCAACCTCCAGATTTCACCTCTGACGGGGTCACATACTCCTGTGGGGCAGGGGGGAGCCCTGGAGCCTAGAAAGAGATTCCTTCTCAAGGTCCCCAACTGGTCCAGGGCTAGGCAGGCAGGAAGCACCTAGAGGTCCTGACTTCCTTCCTCCTGGGCTGAAAGCTCCGTCCCTCCACCCCAAGGCAGGTGCAGTCCTTCCTATGGGGAATGGACTCATGGACCAGTGAACACCACTGAACTCACACAGCCTATCCGCTGCCCTGGCTCTGCCCGCTCAGGGGGGCTTTGGGTCCTCCCCTCCCTGCCCTCAATGCCACGCCCCTTTCCCAGGTACATCCAGAGATGGCCCAGACAGGCCTCGTCCTTGCTTGCTCTGTAGCGGGATGGGGCTGATCCAGGACCCGGGACTCTAGGGCTTTGCAGGGACCAGACCCTTGAACTCCATTTGCCCCAGACTGTCCCCCCTCGGCAGCTGAGCAGTCACATTCCATTCATCCTCTGAGCTGCTATGAGAAACCTCTGCCAACAAGCCCTTCTTCCTAGAATAAAAGGAGAGCACAGTATGCCAAGCCAGGTGTAGTAAAGAGCCCCTCAGCTTTCCCCGATTGCCCATCACCTAGAACTGGACCCTACCCACTGACTTCATGTCCCTGCCCGGCCACTGGCCTGGGCTGTCGGGGCTTACACCCAGTGCCACTCTAGCACAGTGCTGCCTGCGGGTTCTGTGGGCACAGCGGGAGGAGAGGCCAAGGCACAGGTGAGGAATGCAGCCACCAAGCTCCAAGAAAGGCTGAGCCAGGAGCCCCTTGAGCAGTGATGCCTGCAGAATCATGAGGCGAGGGCACGAGAGGCCACTCAGGTCATGGGGCCAGGGGCGGCGCTGAAGGCGTCCCTTACCCAGCGAGGGCCCTGCACTGGCCCACCAGCCCGCTGCGCTCGGGCCAGGCTATCAGAGCTGGAACACACTTTCATTAGCTTCTAGGCCTCTGGCTGGGAAGGGAGCAGGTGTCCTTCATTCCATGGCCCGCCTCCCAGGGTGGGGTCTCCTCTACAGCCCAACTGACCAAGGAGGCCACGGGCCAGACAGCACCCCTTGGGGGATAATCCCCCTTCCTGCTCAGTCAAAACCTGCACCCAGTTGTCCACCCTCCACTCCACTTCTGCTCCCAGGAACCAGATGGACCAAATCTACCCACCTCTGCCCCCAAGCCCCTACCTGGAACCACTGGGACTTAAGACTCAGTGGGGAGCACCCAGGTCTCCTTGGGGAGAGGGGCCTGGGCTCAGACCCAAACGGCAAGTGGCCCTCCCCTCACCTCCCCAGGGCAGGAGACACTGCCCGAGAGCCACGCATTCCAGGGAGCCGCAGCGGCTGTATAATCATGGCGCATCTCTCAATTACCCCCCAGCCAGGACTGCAATTACCACATTACCCCTAATCGCTGAGTGTTTATTAGCGATGCTCCTCCCCTATCAGAGCTGCTATTACTGCACATTAATAACCAGGTAGGCACACAAGGTTTCCTCTTGAACACAGACCACCCAACTGCCAGCACCCCCACCCCCAGGCCTCAGCTCCAGGGGGTGAGGCCCATCCTCCCTGCTCCACCTTTGGCCAAGGGCCTGTCAGCAGGAGGCAGGGGGCTGCTGGGGAAGTGTCCAGGCATGTACCCAGAAGCAGCCACTGCTGTGGAAGCAGTCAGGCCCCCCAGCCTTGTCCTCCTGCCCAGGCTGCCCACATCCATGTGGCCTAGGTAGCACCCACCTAGATCTGAGCCCTGGACCCTGTAAAAGGGAACCTGTCCTTTTCTACCTCCAGCCCACTGCCTCAAATGCACTAACATGACTGCCCAGTGCCAGTCTAGCCTGTGCCTGGTGACCTCCAGTGACCCTGAACACACTCCCAAGCAAGGGAGAGTCCTGGCGACTCTCCCTCTTATATCCCAACCGTGGAAGCTACCCTGGCTCAACCCCAGCCAGGCCGCTCAAGCTCCCTTCTGCAAACAGCAGCAGCTGCCGTGCTTCTCCTCCAGTTCGGCTTTTTCTCTTCAACCTAAGCTTCTTCAGCCAGTGCTCCCTCATCACCAGATGCCCCGTCTACATGCCGACTCAGCCCTGCTCTGTGGATGAAGGTGGGAGCATTTTCGCAGCTGCAAGGTGGCCCCATGGATGGTGCAAACCCAGCCACACCTCCGACCTCCCAGAATCCATCCCTTGGCAGAAAGCAGCCCCCAGACATCACCACTCTGCTGGGGACCCGCCTCACTTGGGGGTCACGTGCGCAGAGCTGGTGGCTGTGCAGGCCCACAGTGGGAGCTGGAGGCACGCAGGGCAGGAAGTAATGGCTCCACAAGGAGACTCCCCAAGCCCGCCTAGGGTACAAACCACTTCTCGCTCCCATAGTGACCTTCTCCAGCCCTCCTTCTGTTCCAGCAGGGGTTGCTTTGCAAGGTTTCCCCCACAGGAAGTCCCTAACCCCAGGGGATGGGTGGGGAGGGGGAGAGTGAATGCAGGGCCTGGTCTGAGCCCCCCTCCACAATGGCCAGGGTGCCGGTGGGGTGTGCAGGCTGCCTGGCACCTATGATTCCCCATCTTATCTAATAAAGCCGCAGCTCCTGAGCTTGCCATGCGATCTTGAAAAATCTAGCTTAGCCCTACAGGCCAGCTTTGCCAATATCCCTAAATGCCTCCCTTATCCCTGAAATGCTCAAAATCTCTCAAGCATCCATGGTGATCCCCCCCTGGCACCTTTCTACCTTCTCCTCTTTGGTCCTTGAAATGTCTCTTTCCCTCAAGGCCCCAGGGCTGTGCTTTGCACCAAGCAGGGGCTCAACAGGTGCCTGCTGAGCCACTGAGGAATGGGCCAGCCACCTCCACGCCCACTACCATGCCACCACCAGCCTGCACAACCTGCATATCAGGTGTCCATGCACAACAGGCTCTGGTTGGTTCACCTGCCCCCGGCTGAGAAATGCCTACCAGGAAGCAGGCCAGCAGATGCTGCCTGACTCAGGCACATCAGGAGAAATTCAGGGCCACCTCCTGCTGCATCTGAACTGCACGGGGGGGCTCCCTGCTGAGGCAGACCCTGGAATCTGGGTGACGTGTAGGACACTGGACAGGAGTGGCGGGCACAGGACACCCATCCCCACCTGGGCTGGGTGCTGCTACCCTGGTTCTGCCCTGGGGATGTGCACGTGCAGCCTGCTGCGGGCAGAGGGACAGGCAGGGCACTGCACTCAGAGCCCCGGGTACCTCATTCTCTTCCTCGTTGTGCAGCTGTTCGGTGTAGGCATCCGGCTTTCGAATCAGAGGGTCCACCAGCATCAGGAAGGCCATGTAGAGCAAGAGGGCCCCGACCACCGACAGGTAGATGACAATGATGACCTGCGAAGGAGGTCCCATGCCCTGAGAGCCAGCCCCGGTGGGGCACACTGCTCCCTGTGCTCCTGGCACGGACTGCTCAAGGGAGGGTGAGCAGGTCACATGGCTCGGAGGAGAGAGAGCTGGAAGGGGCGGGGGCCTATCCCACGGTGACTGACTTCTCCAAAACAAGAGAATCCCTCTGGGATTCTCTGGCAGGCATGAGGATGACAGATGATAAAGAAGTCTGAATCTTGACACCCCAGATACTTCTGGGGTACAGATAAGGTAAACAGGGCCTAGATGGCCACAGAAGATCCTATGATAACTGGGGAGAGCAATGGATCCTGAGTAAGAGCAAGGAGGAGCCGGCTGATGGAGAGGCCTGAGCCCGGGGCCTCAGTCCCCGCTGGGGGCTGAGCACGGCAGTGGGAAGCTGCAGTTCTGAGGCTGTGCATGCCCGCTTGGCACTGGGGAGCATGGGGCCCACCTGGGGACTAGGCCAGCTGGAAGCCAGACCCACCGTCACTTGAAATGCTCCAGAATAAAGCAAAAGGCCATGGGTGCGGGCAGCCAGTGGGTGGGTGTGGGGAATGGCGGGCTGGGCCGGGCTACCTTGATGGTGGTGGTGCTACGCTCCTCGTACTTGCACTCGCACAGCAGGCAGTAGGCCTCCACATCGTGGCCGGGCACCGGCATGGGCTCCACCACATGCAGACAGTTACTGCAACAGAAACAAACAGGGCTTGGGCACGGGGCCTGCGGTGCAGTGGCCAAGGAGCTGAGCAGGCCTGACATCAGGGATGGGTGCTCCCAGGCGGGGAGGGGGCGTCTGACAGGTCAGGCCGGCAGACCCCTTTCTCAACCCACGGCCTCCCAGCCCATCAGAACCAGCTTCCAACTGTACGACAGAGCCAGCGCCAGAAGTGTCGATACCCCCCCAAATTCTGCCCCCAGCTGCCTGCTTCAGCGGTGCTGTTCTAAGGTGAGCAGCCCCCTAGTCCCACACCCTTGGCTCTGTGGTGTGCCCCCAACAGTGAAAAGCACGTCCACCCCCACCCAGCTGACCAAGTCAGACCCAGAAATCATCTCGAATGCTTCCATTTTCTTTCACCTATGAATCCACCAGATCCCAGGGTCTCACCTCCTTCAATGTTTCTAAGGCCACCTTTTCTTTATTCTCTCCCATTGGCATATCTTACCTGAAGCCCAGGTCGTTTCTTACTGTGACACCTCACCCAGCCTCCCTGTGCTCTCCCACCTCTAGTTCCAACATAACTTCACAAAAGTTTTGTGAAACTTCGTCTTCACAAAATTGGAACAGGTGGACACCTCCCTCAGGAAGGCCTCCAGGGTGAGTCCTAACACAGAGAACCGCAGCTCGGCCTCCATCACTAGCGCTCCTTACCCCTCCCACCCTGCAGTTACACTGATCTTCTGGCCTGTTCTGGGAATGAGCCATGCCTTCCTTGACAGGTCTCACAGCCCGTCAGGAGTGCACAGCCCTGCTCTCACTCTGAACACACCTACCGTTCAAGCTTCAGCTCAAAGCTCTGACCTCTGCCCACCACAGCCAGCTCCTAAGCCCTCCTTCACAACTCTCCCAGCTCTCCTAGCTCCCCCTGCCACCCATGCTTTTATTTGTACTGTCTCCCCAGGTATGCGAGTTCCTCAAGGATAGGGTTATCCTCATACCTCTAGTGCCACGCACACTGCGGGCGAGAACAGGGCCCAGCAGCTAAGAGACTAGCATTTTAGCCTACTCTCACCTGATGGGCTCCCAACTCAGGGAGTTCAAGATTGAAGGCCCATGTCTAAAAAGAGGGAAACAGGCTCATGCAGGCAAACTGGCATCTTGATTATGGCGGCAAGGTCATGACTCAAGCCCAGACCCTCGACTCCTCCTTGTCACAGCTGATGCCTCAGTGGGGCCCATCTTGTGCTCAGCTCTGCACTGGGTGTCTCTGCCCTGAGATGAGCACATCCCAACTTGTCTGGCCGAAAGACAACAGCGAGTGAGCAAATCACTGCAAAAATCAAACCCTCAGAGGCTTGCAGAAGTGAAGTGGGTGTTGCACTGCAAGCCTGCTCAGTGGCAGGCGCCCTGGGTCGCCCTCTCCTCTGAGATACTCACTAGCTGCCCCAGGAGACCACCTGCAAGGCCCTTGGGCTCTGACAGGCATCCTGCAAGAATCCACATGCTCCCTGGAAACAATCACCCTGTTCTTCTGAGCTAGTCCTTCTAGACTCGGGCTGGGTTTCTGGCAGAAGCATCAAGGATGTGTGATGTGAAGACCAGGTGTTGAAATAAGAATGAGATCTCCATTTTTTAAAAAGTTCAGAAGTCTTTAAAAACTAAAAGCCAGGTTTCCAAAAACTCCAGTCTGTGGCAGACATGCATTTATCTAGGCCTCTGACCTCTTTCAGCTGGTTGGCAGCTACTGCATGAATGGGTCTTCCCCTAATGCAACTACAGGCACCCCTTTCACACTTTGCCACCTGGGTGGGGTGGGGAGCAGCTGAGGGGCAAGGTCAGGTTCATATCCAGCAGGTGTGACAGTCCTGGGACTGCCCCTTCTCCAGGCCCAGATTCTGCTTTCTGAGCTACGCAGGATCCTGGGCTTGAAAGGTCACCTGAAAGCTATAGTGGGGCATGTGGATTCCCAAGATCAGTGTGGGGTGTCAGGGACAGCTGGGAGGACAACCCAAGTTCTTGGTTTTAGTAGCTGTTACTTGAGGGAATAAGCTGTAATGAACAGCAGCCCAGAGCCGAAATACGTCTGCTGTCAAGGCACTCCTGAAAGACAGCGGAACCCTAATAGGTTTGTGCTCTCCTGCAGATTTCCAACTTCCTTTTCGGGACTCAGTGATATCAAGACTCCATGGATTGGTCAGGGCCCATGCAGGGAGAGGGCTACAGAGAAAGGAAGACAAGTTAGGTTTAATTCTCTGTTTCTCTATATGTTCTGAGGTTGCAGGGACTTTATTGAACCTCTCTGGTCAGTTTCCTCATTTATAAATGGGGGCTGAACCCGATCCGTGTCTTTCACTCTGTCCTCTCTTGGTGTTGGTGGTGAGGGAGGGACCGAGACAGCTCGTACTCAGCCAGAGCGGTTCTTATTTGGACATGCTGTGTTTCCAAAATAGATTTTGCATATTATAAAAGCTCCGTTTTAAAGTCTGAAAGACACTTAATGAACCAGCCACATTATAAGCTCCTTTCTGCTGTAGAGTTGTCTCCACAACATATCTGCTTGGCAGACCTACCAACAGGGCAAAAGATTGGCGTTTCTGCCTTTTTTTTGACCCCCCAACTCTAGATGGCATATTATCAACAGCTGAGAAATGTCACCAATGTGGCCTTTAGATTGTGGCTTCACCCCATGACCAAGGGGACAGGGGCAAGTGTTCCCCCAGCGATGGCCCAGGTGACACCAGAGTGAAGATGGGGCAAAGACCCAAAGCCAAGCTGGTTCCTGCGGCCCTTGCACTGAGATGCTGAGATCACAGGTCAAGGTCCCACCTAAACCCTGAGAGCTCTGGGCAGCAAGTGAGGACTCCCTGCCCAGCTGATGACCAAGCCAGGGTCACTGGGTCCTACAATCCTGGAGTCTTACCTCCCAGCTTCAACTCTACCCACCACCCTCAGCAGATTGTCGTCAGGTTCCTGATTTAAGACTGTTCCTCGGGCAGCCTCCTAATGCTGACTTTTAAGAGGAAGGAGATAAACTAAAGCTCGCGAGGTCCAGACAGGACTTCCTCCTCTATGGACATCCAAGTCTGGGTTTGCAGACCACCCTAGAGTCACAGGACAGATAGTGCCAGTACAAACTGCTGGTAACTTCCCTGGGGGCATGGGGTGGAGCCCTAGCATCTGGCATGGGGCTGAGACAGTCTGTTCGCTTACTGACTGATGCTATTTGAACCATGACTACAAGCTACAAGGTGGTCACAGGGGCTCAGCCCAGGACTTCAGGTATTTGGGCCTATGAGTTCATCGGGACACAGTCTAGTGCTACCGGAGAAGCCGGCTCTGGGATGATGACTAGTTACAAGGCCTCTGTAATATTGATAATAATACCAGCTAACATTTATCTAGCACTTAACTATGCGCCAGGTATTGTTCGAAGTACTATACTTACTTATACATGTGATTGCTTATTTACTTCTCAAAATGCTGCTGTCATATTGAGATGAAGGAAGTCAAGTACCCTGGAAATTAAGTCACCCGTCACAAAATGAACAAGTGGCAAAGCTAGATTTGAAGGCAGGCAGGACACATCCCGCCTGTACATCTAACCAAACGGTCTCTCGGAAAGCCAGAGGTAGAAATGCAGCTAGGATCACAGCTCCCAAATGCTGCTCTGGACCCAGTGCTTCTAATCACTGGGAAGTTACTGCCTCCCCTCTCCCCACATACCCTGATTACTACTGAATCAAAAGGGGGGGAGGGCAGGGGAATTTACCCAAAATCTGTATTTTTGCAATCCCCATCTGATGATCCTAATGTGAGAAGAGACAATATTGACCTGAGCCCCCGGAAGATGTCCGTGCTCTGATCCTCCCAACGATGGGGCCTCCTGGCTCCTAAAGCAGCCTACATTCAAAATGCTCCCTCACTTCACCATTAAGTCTCCCTGGCCCCTTGGCGTCCAGCCACTGGCCACAAGACTCCAACATACCACACTGAACAGAACTGAGCCCCACCTCCCACAGCATGCCAGGCCTTCTACTAGGCCTGTCGGTCGCACCTTCAGTTCCATGAACCATTCCTTCTAGAACACAATGTTGAAATGTCCCTTCATCTCAATGGTCTTTGCCTGAATGAATGTTTGATGATTTTTCTTTTTTAAAATGAGGCATCCACAAATGAATTTAAAGTTAAATAACACATAAAACAGAGCTTTGCAAAAGTATGTTAAAGATCCCACAGGATAAGGCCATAACACCCATGTCTCCTAGCTTCTCTGCCCCTACTTTGCATGTAAGTAAGTACCCGAATCTAAGCAAAATAGAGAAATCCACTCCTCTGACCAGGAGCACCGCAGCTGGATTAAGACATCTGGGTCCTGCATCTAACAGTTTGTGTGATCAAGGACCAAATGTTCCTCTGTAAGGCTCCCACAGGAATGGGAGTGCAAACTTATCCTGCAGGGGCTCAAGAACCCTAGTAATGAACACCTATAACTTCCACTAGGTGCAGTGGCCAAGGGTCCACCCGTGCAATGTCTTACCAGTCCTTCTGTGACACATTCTGGTTGTAAATATGTCCGCTGATGTTTCTATATGGTGGACAGATGCATTTGCACCGTATATCTTCAGAACTCTGGAAGAGAGAGCATGTGTCAAGTAGTCAGGGCCCTGGGTTCAGGTTCTAGCAAGATTCTCAACTTTCAGTTTCCTGTTCCATAAGGTGATCATAGAAATGTTCTTGCATCCCATTCTCAAGTTCAGCAAAGGATGACTCTGTAAGATGGACATTCTACCAATGTCCTTAAGACAGAAGCTGTCCAGGAAGTGAATGAGACTCACACATCCTAATGCCAGAGAAGGCTACACTGGCCTGAATCTGGAAGGAATGTTAATTTAACCATTCATAATGGCTGCCTATGGCTGTTGTTCCCTAATAGGGTGCCTGAGGTGAGGGTGGGGGGTGGCAAGCAAAGTGACAGTCTTCTTCTGTGGACCCCCAAAGTTGTGTGTGTGCCTCTGTCCGGCAGTCTGATGATCGGTTTCTCATTCCCTTCCATCTCTAACTTTCTAGGTTAGGACTAGGTTAGGGCAGGGGTGAACAAGAAAAAGGGGATCATTTTCATGGGGCTACTCAAGCAACTTCTGTAAGCTCTTCCTTTCTGGAATTAGTAAGAAACAATACCACAAATAATTTCATTCAAATTAGGAACTCCCTAGAGGGAGCGGAAGCAACCACTCAGACTCAACCTTACTTCAAAGTCTTGATGAAATTCCATAAATCCACCCAAATCCAGCTCCAGGTCATATACCCCTAAAGCACAGGTGTCTCAGCAGTACCAGTAATGAGGTTGGTCACACTCAATGACAGAAACTGCCCCCTGTACAGGACTTTACATTGACACAGACTTTCTACTCATCATGATTTGATTTTCCCTAAGGAGAGTATAGGTACTACAACCACTATTTTACCTAGGAGTAAAGGCAGGTAGGGTGAACTTGGCTAACTTCCCCAAACAAGCTCCCTGGCTGGAATCCCACTTGCAGGCACCTCTCAGGTCTGTCTCAACCAGAACCTTTGTTCTGGGCACCGCCCCTCTCCCCTGCCTGGCTCCACCCTCAGGGAGGTCCGCAGCCAGGGCTTGGGAGAACACTTCTGAAAACATGGCCCGTAGGTGAGGAAGGGTAGGGATGGCGCAGCAGCTATGTCGGGGGAAGCCCTGACCCAGGTGTCTGCTAGAGGCACTGCTGGCTCACCTCCCTCACCTTGTTGGCTTGAGCTGGGGGTACCAGCAAATACCCGATCACTGCCACCAACGATAGGAGCTTCATGCTTATCAGGCTTCGGGGTCCAGCAAGACTGTGCACCTGGAAAAGAGATATGGAATCGGAGAAGGGGATGATGGCCACACCTTAGCCAGCACTCTGGTCTGTAACCGTGACCATCTGGCCCAGACTTGGGACTGGGGTGTGGGGTTGGCTCCCGGAATCAGGGCCTCCTAAATCCAGTTGCCAAATGCTGCTTTCCCTGTCCCCCAAGTCTCCGACTCTCCACTGCCCACCTGGTGCGCCCAGCAGTGGGGGTCTCCTGCGTACTCGGCCGCCAGAGGCCTCGAGCGCCTCCCACAAGGCCTGGCTCTGACCCAGGCATCGCGTCCCACCGCCCTCCGCCATCTCCACCTCCGCCCGCCCCAGCAGCTCCTCCTCGCTCAGGCCCGAAGAAAACTTTGGGTGCAGAGTCTGGGAGCGCTGATCCAACAGCCAAGGCCGGTGCCCACCCTGTGCAAGGGTCCTGGCCCCAGTGGGGACCCTCAGTGCCCCCGAGAGCCCCGTACCCCTCCCCCAACGCCCCGTCCGCAAACCTGCGAGCCCCGCCGCAGCAGCACAAGACCTAGCTGGACCCGCCCCCTCCTGGCTTCTATTGGCTGTCGGAGCAGCCTATCAGTCTAACCTAGCTATCTCCATGGCAACAAGACCCACCTTCGCCTGGGCGTGGACACTCCCGCGCAAGGGAGAGCGAGGCATTTCTCATACCCGACCAAACAAGAAAAGGGAGCGTCAGCCTTCCAAACTAGAGACCAAGGTCTTGGCCTCCGCTAGCCTGTAAAAACAACGGAGGTGATTTGTCTCTCATTATAAAACTTCGGAGAGGGGCTAATCTGGTTCCATCTCGCAGTTTTAAAGAAGCAGCACTTCATAAACAAACTAGTAATAAAAACAGTAACGATAAAAACAAATTAAAGGGCTTTGTCCTCACAATCTGGAAAGGTTATTTAGGTATCTGCAACTTTGCTGTGGAAGGCTTCACCCCAACCATCTCTCCTCCGCCTCTCCCCTCCCACGAGCCCCTTTAGGAGGAGGGGGAAACCTGGGGCAGCTATGGTGGGCTGCACGGCAACCCCTTAGCCTGGCCTCCCTGCTCACAGGGCTGGTTCTGGGCCTGAGGTTGGGGACAGGCGTGCTGGCAGGTGGCGGCGCGGAGGTGGGTCCAGGCTGCTGAGAGGCAGATGTGTTGTTTCTACAAACTGCCAAGGAAAGAGGCCTCTGAGTCCAGGGTGCCCAGTGAGGACACCAGGGCTTTGCTCCCCATTTTGCCCTTGGAAAAGACACCCTCTCTCTGGGCCTCAGTTTCCTTCTCTATAAAAGAGTTGGTTGGATACAGATTCCTTTTCACCTTTGATATTTGGGGATAGGGGTTGACTTGATAAGGTCTATGCTTGAGGTTGGTGGCTGCAAATGAAACTGGGGCCCCAGAGTAAGGGCTGAGGGGCAAGGCTAGCTCTCTTTCTCACCCCCACCCTCGCCACCCTCTCAACCTTCCACTCCCACTAACCCTCCCCACAAGCAGTAGGAGCCATTGGAAAAGCGGTGGCGGTTTTGCCTGCAGCTCCAGAAGGTGCTGCCTGTGGGCAGCCCCTCCCCTGGGCTCTGAGCCTATGCAGGAGTTTTCCTGCTGGCTGCCCAGAGGGCAGCCTGGGCAGCACCCAGACGCCCTCCCTGACCCTAAGGCCCCGAGGTCTAGCACGGGGGGGGCTTGATGGCAACAGCGCTGGCATCTTTATATTTGGCCCTGGATGGTAGAATGAGGTGCAACCGAAATGAACCTATCATGTCCATCCCTTGGTTAATTATTCGGCGCCAAATGGGTTGGTTGGTCCTAAAATCGTCCAATCAGTAGCTGAGACTAGAAAGCGGTCCATCAAACAAGTTTGTGTGTGTTGGGGGGGGGTGCTGAAAGAAGATATAGGGGTAGGGCGGGAGCCAGCGTAGGACCTCAGGCTTTCTCCCAGGAGGGTTCTGGCTTTTCTGGTCTCCAAAGGAATGAGGGGAAGGGGAAGGGGTGCGGGAGGAAGGGAAAAAGGGGAAAGGGAGGAGGGGGGAGGAAAAGCATCCAGCAGCCGACCTCTAAAGGGAAAAGCCAGAGAGCTTTGCTTTGCAGGAACCCACCTGAGAAGCAGATCCAAAGGCCCTGGGGGTGGTGTCTCAAAGAGCTCTTTGTTGTAAAGACACCTCCTCCCTCAGGGCCTCGGTTTCCTTATCTATAAAAGGAGCTGGTTGGATTCCTTTTCACCTGGGATCTGGAAAAGGGTGACCCTCTCCCGGCCCTGTAACAGATATTTTGGGATGGGAGGGGTGACTTGATACGGCTATGTTGGAGGTTGGTGGCTGCTCCCATCATATGGGCTGCGTGCCTGCAGGGCAAAGCCCCTCTAGGGCACAGTGGACTGTGGTGGACATTACGTGGCTTTGTGTTTGTCTCTCCTCATGTCTTATTCCTCTTCATACCCTCACCGCTGGCAGAGTGCCTGTACTCGGTGCTGAGGAAAGGTTTGCTAAACTGAGCAGGTAGGATGAAGCCTAGTGTTAGGGGGAAAAGGATGTCCCAACGCAAATTCCATATAGGCTTTGTGGACTCCACCCCCACCCCAGGTCAAAGCCAAAGACACTGGGAACTCCAAATCCCATCACCACCAAAGGGAAGGTGGCTGGGACCTGAGGGTGGGGTTAAGCAGCCAGGTGGATATAAAAGGCAGACACGTGGGCTTTGGGGGCCCCCCATTTGGGCTCTCCGCCAGCTCGCAGCGTCCGGCCAGCTCAGAGAGTGACTTTGGGTTTCCAGGTCGTCGGATCGGGTAGGACGCATTAAAGACTTTATTTCCCTATTTTCTCCCTGAGTTGTATATTTTCCTTATTTCTTTTTCTCTTGTAAATAAACCTTTTATTAACCCTTTTGCGTGTGTCTGTAGTAGAGTATTCATAAGTCCCTTTAAAGCGCGCGGGTGAGGACCCACAGCCAGGAACCCGTTTAATATCGGGGTTGCTCTATAACACTAGCAGGAGGGTGTGGCACAACCATTAGGCCACGAATCTTGGTTCTGCATTTCCCAGTTGTGGGAATTTGGGTGGCTGGCTTATCCTTTGGGAAGCCTTGGTTTCTAAAGCCATAACATGGGGACATTACCTACCTGTCAGGGCTACGTGGGGGTTTAATGAGTCTGATGTGCAAAGCACCTGGAACAGTGAGTGGTGTAAAGTGGGGGGAGGGTTATAAATGGAAACAGTTCATCCTGAAAGTCAAAATGACTTTGGTGAGCAGCTGGGGCAGAGACGGGACACCCATCACAAGGAGGCAGCAGGAACACCCTCTTCACCCTAAATGCCTCCCATGTGGAGGTGGGAACCTTCAATGGGCCAAAAGCACGAAACTGAGTTTGGGTCACCTCAATGCTCAGCCCTCTGACATCTGATACTAAAGGCACCCAATACTGAGCTCACTGCCTTCCCTGTCATGTGGACGCAAGTCTCCCAATTTCTCATTGCACAATCTTCCTATATTCTCAGGTCAAGATTGTGGTGTTGAATTATCTTGCCTCTGCTCTATCCTGTCGCAGTGGGTCTACCTAGGTGTCCCCCCTCGGCAGCTATCACCACCCGGAGCTGCATCTAGCCTCAGCTTGCATGCTGCTCCCTGAAACATTCCCTTCCTTCATCCTGCTCTTTCATCCCACCGGCCTTCAGTCCTGTCCTCAGCACACCACTCCTTGCTCAGGAATTTCGGGGAGCACCCTATGGCACCAAATCTAGACCCCACCACCTGGCATCCGAGCCCTGGTCACCATGTCTGCTCCTCCAGCCATCTCATCTCTGGTTACTCCTACCAGCTGTCTCCCACATTTGACTTTGCTCAGACCATTCCTCCCAAAGGATGTTATCACCCCCGCAGCACTGCTAATCCTTATCCTTCATGTCTTTCAAACTTCTGTCCCACGCAGAAACTCTTCCCAAGTAACCCGACCTGACCCTGGGCACCTCATTCCCACCCGTGCTCCATGAGCCCTGGGCTTAAGAATCATGCCACCGAGATGAATCTGCACCTATTTATTCAATCTCATTCCATAAACATGTGCTGAGCACTAGATGCTCTGGGAGAAGCAACACACAAGTCACGTGTGAATCCTGCTGTCAAGAAGCCCATAGTTTTGTAGAGGAGAAATCACAGGGGCAGGATGTTATTTCATTTGGAAGGGGCTGAATCCCAGAAGAGTTGCCCCAAAACATGTTTTGAGCACTCTGTGCCAGAACCTGTGCTGCTTAGAGAAATAAGTGTGAACAAGACAAGCCTGATCCCCGCACTCACAGAACTTGAAGCTTATTGCAGGAGTATGACAAATCCACAAGCAATTACAATTCGGGGTGCTAAGGGCTACGGTGGGAGAAGAGCAAAGGGCTTGCAGAGGTCCATGGGAAACCTAGACCAAGGACTTGGGGAGCCTAGCATCATAGAGAGGATTTGAGGGTAGTGGGGGGGCTGCTAGGGCTGGGCTAGTATGGCAACAGAATAATGCTGTCCCCAAATGCTCAAGTCCTAATCCCCAGAACCTGCGAATACACTGCCCTCTGTGTGAAGGGACTTTGCAGATATGAATGATTGAAGGCCCATGGGGATGGAGAGAGTAGCCTGAATTATCCAGGTGGGCCCATCTGATTGGGGGCCTCAGAAGAAGTGAAGATTTTCTGGCTGTGGTCAGAGGATGAGATCTGAGCACTTCAGCAGGGCCAGAGAGAACGCTGCTGGCTTTGGAGGTAGAGACAGGGCCACAAGCCAAGGAACATGGTGGTCACTGGAAGTAGGTAGAAGCAAGGAAATGGATTGTCTCTTGGACCTCCAAAGGGAACACAGCCCCGCTCGCACTTTGATTTTAGTTTTGTGACACCTGTCAGACTTCTAACGCCCATAGGTGGAAGATAATAAATTTGTGTTGCTGCAGTGTTCATGGTCACTCATTACAGCAGCAGTGAAAACAGCCAGGAAGGCTGGATGGGCAAGATTCGGGGCTGGATCAGGAGCAGGTTAATGGTGGGAAGTGAGTGTAGGAAGAACAAAGACAAGGCCCTGAGCAAAGGCATGAAGGGAAAGAGCCAATGATTCTTTGGCTGGAACCCAGCACAAGTGAGTGGGAAGGGTGGGTAGATAGATAATCCGGAGCCAGGCCTTGGTGGCTGCAAAGTCTGGGTGTAAGCCGGGGAATGAGGTGCGGGGGGTGGTGGTGGAGGGGAGGTGCTGGCTCAGGCTCAGGGTTCACTGGGAGGGGAGGGGTGAGAGTAGGCAACCTTGGGGGTGTGCCCTTTCCAGGGAGGAGGCCAAGTGAAGCACTACTCCCTCATGGGACTATTTATTAGTCTTTATCCTGACCCTGGGTTTGGAGCCCTAGGACTTAGGTCAAAACCCAGACCCTTGGTTTCCTCTCTGGTACCTGCTTTTAACTCAAGGCCAGGTCTTGGCAACTGTGCCAGAACTGAGGGTCTCACTCTCTGTTCCT